TAAAGAATTAAGAAGAGATCCTATATAAACCAGTAGATCTTACGGGCGAGAGCTTGGTAGCCACTACAGCAAAGAATGCTGGATTCCACAGAGGGCTAAAAAACAGTTCAGTCCTTGACGGCGCAAAAATGAGCTGCAACGAGGGCAAAGACCACGTCGAATAAGAACGACCAGGCTCGAGACGAAAGGGCTTGGGCATGATGACCGTCGTAACTACGGGACTTGATGATCCCACAAACTCAAACTGGATTCAGTTCACAAACTGTCTCTTCCGGAACAAAATTCAGCTCTGCACTTCACTTGGTCTGTGTTTAGTAGCGCCATGGTCTGAACGAACTTTTCTTACAAGTGTCCCTCCACAGACGACTCGCCACCACAGGTTGAAATGGTGCAGAAATCAACAAGTCAACAACTTCTCACAGCCCGCGTACGGTAGAATTGCCTTCCAGAATCTCTCTTGGTGTGTGTGTCTCACTCTCCTGTCCTTGTCTGCTAGGCTCGTCTTTTATAGCCTACAACTCTTCTAGAAATTTCTTTTCAAATACGTAAGTTTCTTAAAACAGACTGTTTAGCATTACTTAATCCTACAAGAAACTTCCAGAGCATAGTCTAGCCAACTGAAAATAACGTAATCTTACAAGAAACTTCCGGAACGTACAACTAGAATATTCTGGACTACAGCGAGGTCATTCACCGTGGACTCACTGGGGTCAAATACTGGTCACACGCAGAATCCTGTGCGGTAGCATTGCATTATCTGTTACATGTACAGAAACTGTGTGTGTATACATGTACATAACAGAATTATTTATGATATTACAAACCTGGCCATTTGAATAGAAGTATTGTGTCCAGCCCTTTTCACTTGCTGTTGACAGCAACATGGGAACAGTACTCGATTGTGCGCTGGGTTTGGAGTTCTACCTTTAGCCCACGAACGTTTGTTGTTAACCTTTGCGTTTTAATCGTTGTAAAATACATCTCAAATGGGTAAAGTTCAATGGAAGGTGTTCTTCTGTGCTTATACTGTAGACAAATTAGAAAGGGGCTGCCCCGATGTCATGGAAGGGCCAGTTGAAAATCTGTCGTTTCCCCAATGTCGACAAATTAGAAAGGGGCTGCCCTGATGTCATGGAAAGGGGATTGTCAATCTGTCGTTTCCCCAATAAGGTGTTGTTGGACGTCCTTGTGAAATAGCATATGAAGCGTGATGCCAGGATCCTGTTTTTCCTGGACGGGCATACAATTAGCCTTTTAGAAGTATGACGGACACAATGGGGGGGCGCAATTTGAAGTGGGTAAAATTGGAGCAAACACAGAAGATATTACCGAAACCAAAATGCGCCCTCGTACTGTGTCCGCCATACCTTTAAAAGACTAATAAGAGTGACGCTATGGACTTTGCGAAATAATCACGCCGGTGGAAGGGTGATCATGAAGAACCTTTCAAGTTGTTTAGTGTTTTAGGTTATGACGTGCCGTGAACCATCACCTATGGCAGTGAGTACTTTTTAAATCAAACCACTACCACTTGTAGTCCAGGCTCCCAACTTTGAATGTTTGTGTTGCGGCTACCTTGATAATGAGGGATGCGACTAATATAAACGCGGTGATATGACCACAAAAAGTACGTCGGGCCACTTATACAACTGTATGTGACAGTTGAAATGTTATCGTCAACGTTCACATACCTTGATATTTTTATAAGCATGTATATATACTCTGTTGGTTGTTTCGAATACGGACCTGGCTTATATAAGTGCATCATCGCTTTAGGACGTCTGCAATTTTACAAAAATATTATGCAGACTTTGGTACTACGTGGCACATGTATTAACAGTAATACCGTATTCTCACCGACAAACACATGCAAATCTATCCTATGCGCTTGAACACCCATGTACTTTGTGAGTAGGTTGAGAGGTTTTGCTTTTTAATTAAACCTGGAACACGCAGACCCTCGAATATCTGGATGCGGTACTTCGGAGAGTACGTTTGAGTCGTTGAGTGATATGATTTAGGCCTAGAGCACTTTCGGGAAATGATTTACATCTATAATGAACAATTAGTTACATGTATTTAAAAAACACTCATAGTATGGAACGTAGGTCATCATAATTTGTCGCATTATATCAGAGTATGTCACTATATTGGAATTTGGTAACCAGAATTAGAAGCCATTACTGCGAAGGTACAACGCTTGTGGACAGGTGGTACGCACGCAGTACATGCCTATTCAACCAATAGGGTGCCATGATTTGCCAAACGTACGCGCCCGTCAAGCTGAAGAATGTGCGTCTTTCAAGTGAGTGCAGTGCCTCCGCAATTATGGCGTCTTATTGGAGTAGTCTATAGTACCTTAGTACCTATACCGGTGTAGACGGTAAATCCCTCCCCCACTGAAACTATCCGGGGTACAGAATTACCACGTAGAAATGTCCCCTGGCCATGTAAATCAGTCCACCTCCAGGATATTTTGTCCCCTCCAGGTAATTTTGTCGCCCTCGTTATGCCACAGAAGATTTTGTTTTCCTGTTAGTTTGATGAATTCAGTCCAGTTACATATTTCAGCCCTTCATCAAGCAATCAACATTGAGAAGGGTATGACATATAAATCAGCCGAGCCACGTTTCTACAAGAACTAGGAAAAAGCAGCAATCCGTATTCTGAAGACTTCTCGCACGCGTAGTGATTCTCAGTCTCTAGGCCTGACGCGGTGTAGCTATCATGGCTGACTGGGGAAAGAAAGACACTGCTCCAATCTCTACCATGGCAATGTGCCATCTCGCCGCGCCGAAGCGTGAACCACGGTCGAAAGTAGTTCTTGTTAAAAGCGCCTACTTATGCTTCAAGTCACAGGCCTCAAGCACAGTAAAAGCAGACAATTACAACTTGAGTGGGCACGACTCGGTCGCAGTTGATAGGCCTACCCGCGTTCAGGGTAGCTGTCCTGATTTAATGAGCATCCCAGAAAAGCACGGTGTCTGTCATTGTCACAACGTTACGCGGAACAGTTGAAATAAAGTGAAACACAGTCTGGGTGATAGACTTGTGACGTTGCAGGAGTGCACATTTGGGGGGGGTAAATTTACCCTGGGGCTGGGGGACAGATTTACCTAGGTAAACGTGTCCCCCCGGACACTTTTACCGGAGTGCGATCCGGGGGCACACATTTATGGGGGGGGGAGTTTATACACGGGTTCTTAAATTTCCTACAACTGGTGATGTGGATTATATTTACTATTTTATTCTTGCAAATTGGAGTATCTTCATTTTGCTTTCTTGAATGCGAAGCTCTAGCTGTTTGGACTTTCCCAACTATGTTTAAATCTATCCCGCTCAGTATGGCACAGCATACACGTAGCAACAAAGAAACAGAAACGTTAATCACAGCCAACTTATGTTGTAAACCACGTGCACTGTCGCCATTGTCCGCGGATATTTAGAGTACATAACTTGCATCTCCTTTACGATTATCTCACAAGCGTCACAAATCTGCTCAATTTGTCTCGGTGTTTTTCTTTATACTTATTGATCTCCCTCTCAGCACATTTTTGGTAACGGTGGGTGACTGCATGTATAAAACTATACCGGACGATTATACGATTCTTAAGTGTATTACATCTAAAAGTAGACTGGGCGTCCTCAACATGCCATGCGTTGAGTGAACGGAAACTATCTGCCTTCAATATTATTAGTATGGCAGGTTTTATGAGTCCCATTCCGCGCACGGACAGTAGATCTTTCTTTTGTTTACAAACATCGACTGCTATGTTTTACTGGCGGCCAAAGTTTTAAAAAAGTCACTCTTTTGGCAACAGCTTTTGCCTCAAAATGCAAATTTACTTCCTCTTTGCTGCCATGGGAGTCATTTCCATTTTAGTAATGGTTAAAGTATTTATTAGTTCGTGTTGAACAACTACGATGTCAGATTTTTGTAATACGTCGTATATTATGGTTTTGGTTTTGTTCTCACGGTCAGCTATTTTGCCAACTATGTTTGGCAACAACGGTGCCTGTGACGTAACAACAGAAGAGTAAGAGAATGAGCTGTTGATAAAGTGGCTCTTCCACTGCAACACCTGTTTCTTGTGCGGTCAGTCCATCTTTCAGGAGATTTCCAGCTTTTCTGATAATGACGGTACTCTTCTTTTCTTGTTTGACCTTGCAGCTAATTTGTAGGAACGGCGTAAACGCCCTGCTACACTGCGGCGATAAGAAAGACGATCACGAACACAGAAACGGAAATTAAAATGGAAAATCGTACCATCTGGTCACGCTGCTCACACAATTACAAGTACTGTACGTGCGTGGTTTATTTTCGTTGCTTTAATACGAAGGCCGGTTCATCTTTCAGGCTAATGTGAAAGCGTATAGCGAATTTGACGCATGCGCGCAGCCAAGCGTCTCCTTCCATATGCTGCTCCCTGTTTGGACATATTTGCAGTAATTTTTCCTCATTACTATCTGGGCACCGCACTCACCATTGAGTTCATTGATCATTGATCTCCTTTACAGTGGAGATCAGTGCGTGAAATCGTAAACTTGAAGCTCGCATGCATGTTAGCTAGTTAACTGTTCTTGAATGATTTAGGAAGAATTTATCACGCGTCTACCGCTGCCCCTGTGCGCAAGTGGCGCCACGCTGTACTGTTCTCTTATTCCGGTCAACAAAAAGTCGTTAAACTCGAGTAAATAATGACTTCTTTAAATGGAAATGGGACAAAGAAAATCGCTCCCTGATCGATTCGGACGATGTTTGTCTCATCGATAGCGACATATATGGTTAAAGCTATCGCACCCATGCAAACACTCTGAAAGGTTTTCACATCAGACATAACTCTGAAAACTCTGTTTTCCTGTTTGTTTTTGCCTACGTTATTGCCACAGTGTGACGAGACCTTATGACCAGATCTTTTGTCTTTGTGAGGCCGAGTTGAAGCTACTGGACTTGAAGCAGTAATGGGTGTCTCACACCGTAACATATGTTCATCTTACAGGCTGGAGAAAGACAAAGGATTGGTCTGCTGGATTGCTGTTTTAACGATGTGGAGCTACTGTTTTATTACTGTAGGGGCCATCAAAGGGCTTGGAGTCTTGCTGCCGACTCTGCAAGTCCAATTTGAGACGAAAACGTGGATTGTCGGTTGGTCGATTTCTGTCATAACTGGCATCAGTGGACTAACAGGTACCCTTTTCATCGTGAATACAAATTCGCCAAAAATTCACTTCATACCGTAGGGAAACTGAGACCATTTGTCACAAATTTTACATTCCGATGCTTTTATAGTTTGCTATTTGAAAAAAGAACCATTTAAAATTTTAAACAAAACTTTCTTAACTAGATATCTATTCCTTAATAAAGGAAAACTACAACAATTTATGCGAAGGGATGCACTGTTGCACATTGGAGGATGTTACTTGGAAAAAAATTGTATTTGCTCTATTTAAAATTTTCTAAGTTTATGAACAAAAAATAGTGAATAAGAGCATTATTTTGGTTTTTTAGGTCCTTTAGTAGTGGCATTGCAAAGAAGATGTGAGCCTGGTTCCATCATCGTGGCGTGTGGTGTTATGCTTGGACTATCTTGCATTGTTGCATCGTTTGCAGTCAGTGTTTTCCAACTGACACTTACGTATGTGCCTTTAGCAGGTATATCTCTTATCTACAGTCTCCTGAAAGATTTGCTTGTTCTATAAAGCATTGAGACATGATACTTTTCTTTTTTATGTTTTGTTTTCTTAATTGCCGGAAGCTGTAAATGCTGTTTATGTTAATTCTTTGTCTTTATATAAGGTATTGCATTGGGATTGTCAGGGGTCCTCTCGAAACAGTTGGTGGGTCTTTGCTTTGATCAGAATCACGCAACAGCCATTGGCATCGCACGGACAGGATCATCAATCGCATTTTTGGTGTGCACACCCCTCGTTCAAATACTCTTAGAGACCTTTGGTTGGAGAGGAACCATGCTGATAATGGGGGGACTCTTTTCACATATGATCGTGTGTGGTGCCTTGGTAAAAAAGCAACTGAAACACAGTTTCCACAACTACAAGCAAATACAGGAAGATTCAGCATCAGCAAAGCCCCCAAGCAATCTCCCGCTATGTTTGTACACCGCGTGGGAGAGCTTCGCAGCCAATTTGGATCTGAGACTACTCTTGAATATCCGTTTCTGGATGGCAGCGATTATTTTCTGTGATTCAAGGTTTGCGTCCGACATGTGGAGAATTTACTTCGTGTCCACTGCTGTTTCTAAAGGATTCTCTTCAGATGACGCTACAATGTTCGTAGCAGTTGGTGCTGTTGGCAGTTTGATTGCAAAAGTGGTTCAGGGCTTCATCATTGACAGAGGGCCACTACCCTTCTGGGCTGTATTAGGCATCGGTCTTAGTGTCAGTACCGCTACGTACTGCACAACTCCATGGTTGTCGTCTTATACGACTGTTATGATATCAGCGTTTCTAATCATGACCGCGGATGGTTTCATTAGCTGTCTGATTGATGTCCTCGTGAAGCAGTTGCTGGGCGTAGATTTGCTGTCTAGTGCCTACGGATGGATGGGAATTCTGACAACACTATTAAGCTTCACGCTGGGGTTTCTGCCAGGTAGGTTATTTGACTCCAACTGTAACACCGCACAGTCTTCATTATACATTCATAACTTAAATAATGCACCTAATTACTTGCACTCTTTTATCCGAAGCTGGTAGCTTAATGCCATGCATTCCAAACACAACATGAATTGACATTTTTTTTTTACAATGACATCATGAAGTTGGGCTTAATGTCATTTCAGTGAAGTGAAGGAATATTTAGTAAAGAGAATGGTAAACAAAAACTGAACAATTTATTTCGTTTTGTTTGACTTCTATAGTGAAGTTGAAGAATCGTGTCAACTTACTCTACCTGTGTACTCTACTCGTTTGGATTCGGGGACTTCATGCACTTTTCTTGGGTTTTTGGCTTTTTTACTCAGGTGTATAAATACTAGTCACTGACCAAACGAAACTCAAACTTTGACTCCAAGCATCTCAAGTTTGAGGCTAATAAATGTACCTTTGGAAAAATTCTTTATTTAAAAGTCACTTTTTTCTTGAAGGGTCAATTTACAAAGTTATGTATTTTTCCCATATTACATTTCAAAAATCATTATTCATATTTTGTCAGTCTCCAATCAAAAAGATTGAGATGCTGTTCCATGCTTGATCTGTCAGAGACTTTATAATGCCAGAAGTAGTAGGAACATTGGGTTTTTGGCTTCGTTAGTGATTCGTTTTCTTATTGTATGAATGAGTAATATTTTTCTTACATTTTAATATGTTTGCAGGTTGGATTTATGATACAACTGGAAGCTTCAATGCTGCATTTGTTTTCCTCTGTTGTGTTCAAGCTTCATCGTTGGTTACACTTCTTATTGTAAGCTACAAGAAACTCTATTCCATTCCTAAAGTTTAAAACATTTTTTCTTGGAGCGTTATAGCCGTATTTTTGTTCCCCTTTTCAAGCACAAATCTTCCCCTTTGTATTTTTTCCATGTGGTGTGGACTTTGTGGACAAGAATACCCCACGTCATGAAAACTAGTTTAGAATTGTGTGCATAGTTTGAATGATTATATTAACTTTTGAGAGCAATACTTGGTCTGATTTCATTTTGATTCATAAGATGAAACCAAGACTCTTCTTTAAAAGACACCTCAGCAACAGCGCCTTATTTACCCCAAAACAAAAACGTGTTTTTAAAGGTGCAGTAATCTGTTAGATTAGTTAAATGTATCAAAGTGGATTTTGAATTACATGATAATTTAATACATGTAGATTGTAAAAAAGAATATGTACAACAGTGTGTTTTAAAAGAAGCCGGTAAAGTTTTAAAATTCATTTGGCTCCTTGGTACACTTCCAACACAGTGAACAAGAAGACATACTGCTGTAGGCTCAGATTCTGGTTTTTAAGCCTGCATCTGTAGTGCGTGGGATGAGAGTGAGGATGGCTTGGGCTGGGAGTTAGATAACGGTTTGGGTTAGGATTGGGTTCAGATATGGATTTGGTTGGGTTTGGTTTGGTCAGGCTTACGGTTTGGGTTGTGGGGTAAGGGTTACG